CCTTTACAATACAGATTTTAAAATATAACAAACTATTTAAATCAATATTTTTAATTTATAGTTATGTAGGTGGCGTTGAGTAAAAGAAGTTACTAACCAAAATGAGGGAATAAAATCAATTTCGATTGAAAATTATAAAGTTAGTTGTCAAGATTTTTATATTTTTATATTTTTATATTTATCTATTTCTCTATAATATAAGATGATAAGATTGATAATTTTCTATTCTATCAACATTTTTAATTTATAATTATGTAGGTGGCGTTGAGTAAAGAAAGATACTAATCAAAAAATTACCATAAAATCAATCTCGACGTCCATTAAAAAAGTTAGTTGTCAAGATTTTTATATTTATCTATTTCTCTATAATGTAAGATGGTAATCTTTGATAATTTACTAATTTAGTAAAATAAATAACTGATTCCCAAACTTGAAGTTAATGGAATTTTCATGTTTAGAATTTCTACCAAATGAATATTTAGAACTATTCATAAACATTAGAAATATTACTTCAGATATTGAGAAATATATTATTATTTTTTAAGTCCAATATTCTCACCAGATATTGAGAATTATAAATAATCAAATGGCTTCAACCTTTTTTTATTTAACCGAAAATATGAATTTATGATAATAAACAAAAAAAAACAAATTATTCAAGTGCAACCATAATCCTTTTGTAGATAAAAGCAAAAGAAACACAAAGATGATAAGTAAAAAATGAAAAACAAAGAACAATGGTGAAGCCTTCTGGTTGCGAATCCTTATTCCTTTTCACCATTTAGATTTTCCATTTTGATAGTTCTGGTACACACTTTCTTAGAAGTAGATGATAGATCATCTAGTAACTCAACATTGTCTGATGACCGCTTAGAAGATGGTGTTGAGAGGTTGTCCTTAGTTTCTTCCAATGTGGAATCAATAAGTGAAAGCTAAAACACAAAATAGTTATTACACATTACACATTTGAAATCATTGTTCAATGAATATTCTACAAATATTGAAATTACCTCATCACCGGAGATAAACGATACAAGTGCACTTGATTGACTATTTGGGTTACCAACAGATTCATCCTTGATTAGATAGTCGCCTAGTTTAACACTTGAGCACTTGTATATGTCATTTCCATACAAAACATTATCCTTCTCAATACAGACTTCAAACTGGAGGGTTTTCCCAACGACCGCAGAAATAGCATCAGGTAATAAAGTTGGATCTTCAATCTAAGATAAGACAAATATATATATATAAACCTTTAGTATTCAAAAAATTTACATATTTAGTCTCATCGCAAACTAATAGTAACCAAATAGTAATACCTCATCATAAGAACCATTAAGAAGTTCAGCAGCAGATACACCAACAACTGCATGTGCAACCATATCAAGCATGAAGAATTTTATTTTCTCTTTGTCATCCATGACAACCAGATGCAACTTGTACCTGAATATTAAGAAAATGTAAGTTATTCAAAACAATTAAATAAGCACGATCTGATTTACATATCATATAACATTAAATTTAAATAAGGAAGAAGATTAGTAAAGAAGGCGCTTACCGTATAATAAGACATCCACAATGTAGAATATTATCGTTATACAAATAGCAATTGAACATTAGGTTTTGATTAGTTTACTTTAATGTTTCCAGAATTACCTTGGTAGGACATTTGTAACTGTTTTTTTACAAACAGAACAAAAGAAAGTTGGCTTAGCAAAAGTCTTTTTAGAGGCTAACGCTCCGTTAGTTGCTTGTTCAACCATTTTTTGGCACTTGCCACAACCAAAATAGTACCAAGACCAGTCGGTATCATTAGCGTAGACAGTACAGACGACTTTGCATCTCTCCACCTATGGTAAATTTAAGGTTAGGATAACTAATGTAAAGGTCTAATGGAATAACATTAGAAATTTTTAAAAAGTTACTTACATCAAGTGAAGATCGCAAATCAGTCAAATTCTTGCTAGGCAGCACATCCCAATCGATCTCTTTGTTATTTGGTATATATATGGGATCCTCCTTAGGTTCAAGGATAGTTAGAGATAGACCATCATTGGATAAACTACAAATTTTTAAAATAAGTTAGTACCCTCGTTTTCGATATATAATCAACAAAGAATATTCTGATAGGATATCTTACTTATCCTTGAATGCTTCGACTTCAGGTAAGGGAGCATTAATCAACATTCTTGAAGCATCAAAAGAATTGGTGACCTGTAATTCACCTGAACGAAAAAAAAGAGAGGTATTTGTTTAATTTTATATTGATTTACTTCATATATTTTCAGTTTGTTGTGCATATAGATTCGAATATAACTGACTTTTGTAAATGTTGATTTTCGCAAACCTTAGTAAACAAATAACAATTGAATCACCACCTTCATCGTAAGCAGAACGAATCTGTTCAGCGAATCTTCCCCATAGACAACAGGCTAAACGTTCGTCACTGATTATATCAAAATTTGAAATTTATTACACTTTAGAATTTATATTTAATCATTAGTGGATACAAATGTAACTATATAACTGTGAGTAACCAAACTTACTTCTCATCACGAAGATGAAATTCAACTTTCTTCTTGTCTTTACCATTCACCTGAACTGTCTTAATTTCGCCCATGTCCACAACTTGTCCAATAACATCTACAGGACAAAGTAAATCACATAGTTTGAATTTTTCAATTTTTATATACGCATGTTTGAAATAAACTGTTGAATATTCAAAATATTTTACCTATCAAGAAATGTCGGTTGAGCGTAGGATTTTGAATCTGTTCATAACTTGTCAATGTTATGAATAGATCATCTGATGTTTTTGCAGATCTCGTGACAGAAGTGGAAGATGTGAAACTCCTCTTAAAAAGATGACTCGTAGGTCTGTAGAGGCCCGTGGCAGTAGTTAAGGAGAAGTTCTCGATGAACTTCCATGCACCAACAAGGAGCTGCCTTTCAACCTTGTGAACAAAGGCTTTTTTACAGGCGCATGAATCTTGACACCCTATCAAAAAACAAATCATGTAAGTATATATTAAATATTCAAATGCATAATTTAAAGTGTGTAATCAATATATTTTAGTATTCACAGTTACATCTGCTAGTATCAACTCAAGGGACTCTCCGGCTTGCGGAGTGTATTGCTTCCAGGAATGCAGCACTCTGACCTCTACACGCCAACTCGATTTGAAGGGTTTGACATCCTTAAGGTATGTGCAACCTTTAGAAGTCATTTGTCTAGGTTTCAGAGAAGGGATACTGATGTTATGCTTGGAGAAGAATGAGTAGTTGTTATTTATACAGTTTTGATTAGGTTTCGGGTTTGCCTAGAACAAACCATTGTAGGTTCCGTAATTATTCTGATAATATCTAGTTTCCGTCTTTGAAGGTAGATACATATGCTAATTTGTAAATTGAAAGTGTTGTTTTGATAAACTAAATATTTCAGTTAGAGTAAATATGTGTTTTCAATATATTCAAAAGATTACGATACTTTATTCGGAATATTCGGAATATAAAACCCTGATTTGATTTGAAGTATAGATTTATAATATAGATTTAAATATTTTGTTTACTTAAATATATAGATAATAATGGGGATTCGCAATCAGTATATTCTTAGATATTAATATCCCGTTTAAAATGGAAGACGTTAGGTAAGTCGAATTAATAATAGTAGAACGCGAATATATAGAATGAAGGAACAATGAATATACAAATATAGTCTAATGGCAGACTCAGTAAATACCACGATAGAAGAAGGTCATTCTCCTAAAGTAGATCCTCTTTTAATATAATAGATTAAAAAAAAAATTTTGGTAAAATCATTTCAGTCAAACTAAAAAACAATTATTCTGAAGCGATTCTCCTACTATTCAATCATTTTTACATTTCCAATAAAAAATTTGTTTAAATGTATGACAGGTCGAATAGCAATGGCATTCAGGAGCACACCCTCCTCCCTTCTAATTCGTAAGGAGATCAGTTCCAGCAAAGCTCTGATTTTCTCCATTATCCATCATCAGAAACTTCGACAACCCTAATCATTTCCCTCTTCACGTTTCACTCGCCCAGAATTTGTCGAATTTCTCTGTGGCGGCGCAGAGGCGTGATGTTTTTAGGGTTGGAGCTTACGAGGCCGACCTGTCTCAGCCGATTGAGATTGGAATCGAAGTTCCTAATGAATAATCCGGGAAAAAGGTGAAGATCAGGATCTACTTCGCTACTTGGTGGGCCGATTAAGTTTTTCTTTCAAAGAATTCGATTTGATGATACCTTGTAAACAATTATTCCGAAGCGTTTCTCCTACTATTCAATCATTTTTACATTTTCAATAAAAAAATTGTTTAAATGTATGACAGGTCGAATAGCAATGGCATTCAGGAGCACACCCTCCTCCCTTCTAATTCGTAAGGAGATCAGTTCCGGCAAAGCTCTGATTTTCTCCATTATCCATCATCAGAAACTTTGAGAACCCTGATCATTTCCCTCTTCACGTTTCACTCGCCCATAATTTGTTGAATTTCTCTGTGGCGACGGTGGCGGTGGCGGCGCAGAGACGTGATGTTTTTAGGGTTGGAGCTTACGAGGCCGACCTGTCTCAGCCGATTGAGATTCGAATCGAAATTCCTAATGAATAATCCCGGAAAAAGGTGAAGATCGGGATCTACTTTGCTACTTGGTGGGCCGATTAAGTTTTTCTTTCAAAGAATTCGATTTGATGATACCTTGTAAATATGTTTGATATCAGGTGGGTAGTGGCACATAGTGTGTCCCCCGACTAGATTCCGCCCTTGACATTCAGCATTGGAAACACAATGAAGCGGATCTCGGTCATCGTTGTCTCGATCATCATCTTCCACACCCCGATTAGACCTGTTAACCCTCGGTGCCAAGAGATTGATCGGGAGAAAGTAATTACTATTTCACTCTGTTTTCTCTTTCTTTATATGGAATGTTGCACTAACAAATTTCTTTTTTTTTTTTTTTTTTTTTTTTGCAGATTCGACGACAAGGATGTTCTGAAACTTGTATCTTACAAGATTGTGAACAAGGTTGTGAACAAATCTATAGTTTTGGTTGATGATGCGGCTGGTATAAGAAAAATCCAACATACCGTATATTTTATTGTACGGTAAATATTTCAGTATTCTTCATTTACAACCAAAGATCTCAGTAATTCAAACCAGCTACATTTTCAACTCTAGATTTCAGAATTTTTATTATTTAATTTGCTTGTGTGTCAGTTGGAAAGAAATGAAGCAAGTGAAGAAAATGCAGCGAAGACGACGAAGAAGGTGTTTGTCGCCGGAGCAACTGGAAAAACAGGGAAGAGGATTGTGAAGCAGTTGTTGTCCCATGGCTTCGCCGTCAAAGCCGGTGTTCGCGATGTGGAGAAAGCAAAAACATCTTACAAAGACGACCCGTCTCTTCAGTTCGTATGTTCTTTCATCTTAAATCTGATGTTTTTCGCTGTTAGGTTCTCTTAAAAAAAAATTCCTCTGTGATTATATCTTGTCAGGTTAGAGCAGACGTGACAGAAGGTCCTGAAAAGCTAGCTGAAGCTATAGGTGATGTGTTTCAAGCTGTGATTTGTGCTACTGGGTTTTGTCCCGGGTTTGATCTCTTTGCTCCTTGGAAGACTAATAATTTCGGGACGGTGAATCTGGTGTTTGAGTGCCGTAAACAAGGAGTTGATAAGTTTGTTCTTATAAGCTCAATTTTGGTGAATGGAGCTGCGATGGGACAGATTCTGAATCCAGCTTACATCTTCCTCAACGTCTTTAGACTAACTCTGGTTGCAAAGCTTCAAGCCGAGAAGTATATCAAAAGATCCGGCATTAACTATACTATAGTAAGGCCCGGTGGTCTTAAAAACGATCCTCCAGCAGGAATCGTAGTCATGGAGCCAGAGGTAAAAACCATCTTTGATGTTTGGTTCGTCTGCGTTTGTGCTGGAACTGATAAAAAGGTCTAACCTTTGGTCTTTGTAGGATACTCTGTCTGCAAGGAGCATATTAAGAGACCAGGTCGGAGAAGTTGCAGTGGAAGCTTTACTTCATGAGGAATTTTCTTTCAAGGTTGTGGAGATAGTTGCTCGTCTGATGCTCCAAAACTTTCCTACAAATATCTCTTTCCTACAATCGATCTCTTTGAAAAACTTTAATTGGTTTGGCAACAAGACAGACATGTTTCATTATTGAGATTTGATAATGAAATTGCAGGGAGAAAGAGAAGATGAAGAGTGAAACCTTCGGCCCCTTAATGATGGACGTGAGATAAAGAAGTAAGTATAAAAAGCCCTTCTTGATTCATTAAAACAAATACATTATCTCATGACTTGTGTATCTATCTAATGATGCTTCCCTCAGAAAAAAAAAAAAATTTGTAGAGAAACAGAGTTGCTGCGACAGAACCTTTTAAGACATTTCCCACCCAACAGCTTCCTAAGATGATGATGTTCATCATCTCTACAAACAACACGATCTTCTGATTTGATATTTCAGGGCGATTGTCTATAAAGCTCCTTGTAATTTGCCTATTTGGATTTGTTTTTGTGATGTATTAAGATTTATGTACCATGATGGTGAGATTGTGTGTTCTTTAATCGATTCCATTTTATCTACTTGAAATCTCCTTCTACTAATTATATACTACTGTTACTGGTTGCTATATCTTTCGGTATCTAAACTATTGGAGTTGTGTCCCAATGACTCGTGTATGAACTATCTGGTCTTTGCGTCAGTATGCAGAGCGTGTTGGTTGGTTAGATGAAAAGATACTAAAATCTTCTCCATCATCCGCGTTATTAAATGTTCCCGTTATCTAATACAAAAGTATGTAAACCAATCTTTATATTACCCACAAAATATAAATCCTACATATCTATAATAATACTACAATAAGTTATCTATTACTACCATTCTTTCAGTGGGGGTAATGATTCAATAATTGGGTTAAAATTCAGGATGCTCGAATTAGCCAAGAAGAAGAAAATGTGTTCGATGAAAAACTAAACATGGTTGAGGTAAAAAAAAAATGGCAAGGAATTTCCTTATTTTGAAGATGGAGTTGGACGTCACGGAAACAAACTACCTATAGTTGACTAAAGCTATGAAGAAAAATAGAGGATAGGAACACATGGTTTTTGTTTTTTCTTCATAACACATCTCTTTACATTTTAAAAACACATCAATGTATTTTTATTTAATTGTTTCACAGGCAATATCAACATATATATATATATATATATATATATATATATCTCTTTCATTACTAAGTTCTATCTGAAGACATTTTATAGAACCAACAAGGTTTAATATATTTTCTGCGTGATTTTATCTTCTAAAATAGTTATAAATTCTCTATACAAAATGGTTAAAAATAAACAATTGTACAATAGTACAAATATACGCTAAAATTATAAATTTAAGAATTAATAATGTTCTATAAAAATATAAATTTGGGCGTCTCTCATGAAGTTCAAAATTTCTAAACTTTTTGTGAAATGAAGTTGTTTGGGTGTTTTTTTTTCTGTCAACAAATTCTTTTTTTAATAACTAAATATTTATGTTATTTTTTTTTTAAATCTAAAAAATATTTAAAATTTTTAAAAGTAAACTAAACAATAAACATAAAAATACTTATAACCAAATAAATGTGTAAGTTACTTAAAATATTATATTTATTATATTTTTAAAAATATATAGTTAAACACAAACCCCTCTTGTACACCCGAGTCATCACCTAATTCTAATCAAAACCTAAACCACCCAAACCTGATTCAGGTCTCAAACATTAATATAAAATACTCACTTTAATATAGGCCATTTGATGGACTCTAAGAGGAAAACATAAGAGAACACAGCTATACTTTTAACTTCTCCATTTCAACTACTGCACAATCCTTAAAATACAACAACTTCACAAAAGACTTTCCTCCTTATTTATACACCAATTTCATCAAAACGCAAATCACTCAACTCATTCCTGCAAAACAAAACAAAACAAAGAAGAATCCCAAAAACAAAAACATTCTCTAAAATGAAACATTCACCATTCTCACTTTCAACATCAATCTTTCTCATAGTTGCTTCTTTTTTTATTGCAACAACCGCCCTCGATCCTGTACCCGAAGACCCAATTTTCGAACTGTACATGCACGATATACTCGGCGGAAGCAGTCCCACGGCAAGACCCATAACCGGTTTACTAGGAAACATCTACAACGGCCAAGTCCCATTTGCTAAGCAGATCGGTTTCGTTCCACCGGAAAACGGTGTAGCCATACCCAACGCAAACGGCGCAATGCCAACGGTTAACGGTATCAACGGTATTCCTCTAGGTACCGGTTTATCCGGTACAGCGTTTTCCGGTCAGAATCTAAATGGGATTCAGACACAGTTAGGTCCTGATGGTCTAAGTCTTGGGTTTGGAACAATCACAGTGATTGATGACATAATCACATCAGGTCCTGACTTGGGTTCTCAGCCACTTGGTAAGGCTCAGGGGGTTTATGTTGCAAGCTCAGCAGATGGAAGCACACAGATGTTGGCTTTTACAGCTATGCTTGAAGGTGGTGAGTACAATGACAATCTCAATTTCTATGGAATCTATAGGATCGGAAGCGCCATGTCGCATCTTTCAGTCACCGGAGGAACCGGAAGGTTCAAAAACGCTTGCGGGTTCGCGGAGGTTAGGCCGTTGATCCCTGAGGGGCAACACTTTGTTGATGGAGCAGAGATGCTGTTGAGGATCATTGTCCATCTGAAATACTAAGAATCATGTGAATGAATGTGTGTGAAAATGTATGAGACCATTGTTAAATGAGAATGTTTTTCCTTCTTGTGATCATATTGTTGAAAGTTGAAACAGTTACAAAGAATACGATTTTACACAACAAACAGCACAATCAAGAAGGGTCTGTGTTTTATTGCTCACATTCTTTGGTCTGATAAAGAACTAAGCATTAGAATACTGTAAGGCTTGTGAATTGCCTCAGCCGCTACTTCTTCTCCTATAGGGCTAACGGTTTAACTCAGAACACTCCGAAGAACGTGGCTGCAGCGAAAACTAAGAAGAGTCCTCCACCTACATATCCCACCTGCATTGGAAAAGACCAACCAAATTCGGTCAAATTCGGTTCCTGTGAATGGAACCTTGTGTATAAGCATTAGCTCGCGTACCAGTTTCTCAGAGATATAGTTGGCGAGGAACGCGCCGCCAATGATTGCAAGCAATGTTGCCACTAAGTGTCCAGCAATAGCTCCACTCGCAACTCCCCATGGAGACTATATGACACAGAGTTTGACAAAGAGAGAGATGCTTAGACTTTAGTGAGCTAAAATCTTGTGGTGATGTAACGAAGTTTGCGGAATCAAAACCTGTGCAGCACCAAGCGCGACAGTCGCAAGCATTGACCGATCTCCCCATTCCTGATTAGTTCAAAAGAACCAAAATTTATCATAATGTGGATGGTTTCATCAAGGTTCTTGACAAAACCGGGTTCTTGACAAAAGCAAACGGGTTCTTGACAAAAGCAAACAAGTTCTTGACAAGAGTAAACGGATTCTTACCGCAAAGAACACGAGGCTGAATGATTTCCAGAGGATCTCAAGTGGGTTTGTGAGCTTTTTGGACGCCTGTTCTTTCACGAGCTCCTCAGCTTCAGTGTATTCACCAAGTTCTTTACCGCTTTCCTCACCGTTCTTGGCTTCAGCTTGTGGAATGTCCCATGCATCTTTAATGGATTTCAATCCAAAGAACATGAGAAGCGCGATCGCAGCATATTCTCCTATCGGTAGTGCTGTTCATAATATTTTCCATTTAATGTTCATATGAGCAAAGACTCAGCTTCAAGATAAAAAACAAGATTGAAGAAGAGCTTACTCGTTTGGAACTGAGCAGGCACGGATTGAAATATCTTCCCAATAACAACTGATAAGATAGTCATCAAAGATAAAGCTCCCATTGAACCTAAAAGAACCTTGTCAAGAAATCGAAGGTCAACAACATCAGTATTCAAACCGTGAAACTAGAACAAAAGGGCAGGGCCATAGCCAAAAAAACGTACCAGTGTTTTCTCGTACTGCATAGCCAACAAAGCAGCAATGAAAAAAGTCTGCCCAAACCAAAAGTGACATACTTGAGATCACAGGCTCAATTAAGTTAAGGTTCCATAAAAGAAATCTAAAGGCGACATGCGCATAGAAATATTACCTTGTCTCCAATCTCGGAAACGAATATTAGTGAGAAGGCTGCTGTGAAGCCTGACTTTGCTACTGCTGCTAGAACTGATGATGGTCCTCCCTTCACAAATGTGATTAGAGAGAACACCAAACCGCAACTCAGTAGTACAAGAGCTATCGATAAAGTGTAAGGGAACGGCCCTCGAGGTTTTAAGCTGCAGGATACAATAGGATCATGGATCAAATACATTTCAAAAGACAATTAGAACCACATAAACCCTATTACGCACATAAACTTAGTACTTAACAATTTACAGATATGAGAGGAAATTCTTCCACGAAGAGTAACAATACAAACACTACAGAAACTTCAAATTCTTACGTTATTTCGGATTAAAAAAAGAGCTCAAAAGACACATATAAACACCAATGGCACCATGACCTACAAAGGTCCTAGTATGTCCTTCAAATGCTACTTACTCACACAGTAAACAAGAGTCAAAGAGATGATCAGCACTAAAAAGTAGCAAATGTTGGTTCCCTTGCTAACAATAAGAATATAGTAACGAGGGGGGGGGGGGGGGGGGGGGGGGGGGGGGGAATTATTAACCTTTCTGCTGAAGTGGTATGAGACTGATCAAGAGGACTACTTTGAGATCCATCCTCCTCACCACCACCATAGCTCCCAGACCCAACACCAGCATTTGATGCATGAACTCTAAATTTTTCGCAGAGCAAATCCAACTTTGTTCTCCGTCTACATCTTACTAGAAAGGTAGTTAGTACATAAGTAAAGTGTCTAAACAATCAACACCAACACAATAAGCAGATCAAGCATATCCTTTAACCAAGAAAACAGAAACGTTTTCCTTATGGGTTTCTTAAGCTACTCGCACAAATATCGCTGACCCATTAAACAGATAAAACCCATTAATTCCATATGAACAAGTAATAATCATAGACTAAGATCATAGTTGCACACTTCAGTGAACACAAACATCCTAAGTAGAGTTCTCTAGTGAATTCATGGAATATAAGTAGAATTTCAATTCATAGGAAGCGTAACTTACAAGGAGGAAACGTGGGTTTTCTCGAACTCTTCGGACAAGGAAACGATTCAGACACAAACAGAAAGGGGAGTTTCCGTATAGAAGATACAGCTACTTCTGCTGCTGCGGAATTAGGATTCTTGCTCAAGCCAATCATATTGTTCCTTTTACTCTGAATCCACGGAAGCAGAGAGTTTAGTTAATCATTACTTTGCTAGTTCCGTTGATAAATTAGAAACCCAGAAAGAAAGATTGAGACTTTCGTTCGATTTTTGCTTGAATCGAAGCAGAGAGAATGGGTTGGTGATGGAGATAGGATTGCAATTCGGGTTTCCTTGTCTGTGCGGTTGGGGTTTGACTTCTAGAATGCGCCACGTGTGTTGTGAGCACTCAAGGATTAAGAAACTTCCTGATGCAGTTATGCTTCTGTTTTTTGTTTCAAACAATTTTATTGATTTCAAATTCAAAATATACAAAATTTTAAAATTCAATTTATTACACAAAAAATACACTTGATGTTATAATTTGATGTAAGTTACAGTAAAATTAACTGATAAAAACAGTAGAATTATGCCGTAAATTTGCTGTAAAAATTTGAATTAATATTTTTGTTAAAATAAATGATTGATATATTTTCTGATGTATAAATTACAGTATATATTATTTAAAATAAAATAAAATAAAAAATATTAAAACCTGATATTTTTTTACAAATCTCCTTTATATAAAAGTGATAGGTTTCCTACTCTCTAAGGGGTGCCACATAGGCAAAAATAATCAGCCAATAAAAATATAACAAATTGCCACATCGTTAAATTATAAAAAAAACTAACCAATAAGAATAATACAATATACCACATCAGCAAAAATAATTAACCATGGTAGATTTCAAAACTGCTATGTCATCTTCTCCAACCAATAATTTAAAGCCATTTTATTAAATAATTTATTAATAAAATTTTTTTCAAATTTTACCTAAATTTTTTTTTATAATTCTTAAATTCTCAATAAAAAAACAAAGCTAAAAAAAAACTGAAACAAATTACACTAAAACTCAATTATAAAGCTTAAACAAAAGCTTATTTTATGGAGTCATCGTCTTATCGGTTTCCAATCATCTCGCCTCTGACTCACCAGAAACGGAATCAGCCGTCACTAAACACAAATTTTACTTATTAATTAATGACAACCAAACTGGTGATAAACAATAAAACTTAAATAAATAGAGCATAAATATTTGGAAATCCAAAAGACATAGCATTGAGAATGTAAAAAAAAAGAAGACATAGCGATGAGCCACATATGGTATAAATAATACACAACTCTATGACAAATGAAGTCTAATGTGTCTCATGCTTGAGATTGTTGTAAGCAACATAAAAATACAATCTCACAACTGTTTTGCATTTATATTTATAATGTGAATCAAGTAGAATGAGTCTGAATCATAGTATTGTTGAAACTGGAGAACGTCTTTCTCGCCAAAAGTAAAACTTAAGGAGCGACTCAGTTTTCTTTCGTCCAGAGAAAATTAATTTATACAATTGTAACTTTTTGACTTATAAAAGATTTCAAGTTTCTAAAGCTGATATAGAGTTCCATATTGTTCGTTGTAATCCGACATTGTAGAAAAACTGAAGTAAAAACCTAACTAAAGAACCGGTGATTAAAGACAGTTACTCACCGTTTTTTAATTTTTATTTGCAAAATTTCATGAAACATACAAAGTGAAATTTTTTTTTTTAAATAAAATATAACGATAAATTTCACACTCTTCACCAATATTGACAAATGATTGAGCTAGCTAAACTATCAAACAAATATTATATCAATCAATAAAGAAGTCATATAATAAAAAAAGTTTATTATTAATTGCCATTTGTTTTCTTCGTTGAATATATGAACTAATTATAAAACATCTATGTACATACTGAATCTTAAAAAATTGATAAGTAGAGAAATGCATACTATATGAAAATTAAAAACAAAATCCTAATACACAATATGAAATAAAAATGGAGTAAGGATTGAGTTTTTCTTTTTAAAAGCATCAAGCGAAAGGGAAGCTTATACAAAATATTTTTGAAAGTATAAAAAAATACTCATGATGTTCACTAAAAAAATAACATTATAACATAAGATGTCCATATATAGTTCATGTGGATACTATTTACATAAACAAAAATATAACAAAATTACAAATCAAATTATTATACAAAAAATCAAACTTTACCCTTCATATTTGCAAAAACATGCATTAACTCTTAAAAAAAAGTTTAACTAAGCCAAAAGGTATATTAATCTATTTTCAAATTATTATACAAAATTTTTGATCATCCTTTCACATATATATATATATCCTTCTGATACTTACTTCGCTCGATTATATCTAAGAATCACTTGCAAATATACTACTATATAATTTATCACAATATTAAACACAAAATTAATTGATAACCTTTTATAAAACTACAATATAACTATACAATCCACGCGTAGCGTAGACAAAACACTAGTTATAATTATAAAATTGAATAAAAAAATAATACTAACTTGAAATTCATCAAACTAAAAAACTATTTTAGATAATAATAAAAAACAGATCTTAAATTTTTTAATGTTATTTGTATCTATCAACAATTAGCTAAAAACATTCATATATATATAATTTGTTTAAGTAATTATTTAAAATAGCAAATAAAATCAATAATTAATTATATAGGAAAACCTAATTTTGGATTATTCAAATGTTTACAAATGTTTTTTGACAAGTAATGACAGATTATACAAAATTAAAATTATTTAAAAGATTTTATTAACAAAAAAAAAACTACACTAATACAAAATAAATATCTAACTCAGCTTGTAACTCACCACAATTATCATGATTTAAGGATTTGAGTTATAAATTTTACAAAGACATAACTCAACATTTTAATGCAACCATAACACATTGTAACCCAAACTCTAATGCAAAAAAAAAAAATAATAATGCATGATTGGTAATATTTTTGAGTTATATCCATAACTCAAACTAAATTAAAGATACCACATGTTACCAATCAAAGCCATAATAACAATAATTATAGAAATCAAATTTACTTATATATAGTTTATTCGATTAGTTTAAATTTCCAAATTTCAAAACTGTCTATAAAAAATATTTACTTACTAATAAATCACTCAATTCACTTACAAATTGTAGGTTAGATAAAAAATTTAGGTTGAAACTCCAAATTACATACTAGATATAAAAAATATGATTATAATTACAAAATATTGATCTTATAATACCAATTTTTTTTATAATCACTAGTGTTAATTTTTTATATGATTACTGATTTAACAGTTGCTGATAAATACTATATTTAATAATTATATAGTTGATATATTATGCCAGAATCGATTAAAGTGAAGTGATAAAACTAAAATTGGATGTAATCGGAGATATAGGAAAATTTAGATCATCACAACTCGTAAATCCACCTGAGCTGATTAAGAAATCTATTGAGTTAGCAACATTAAAGGTTTGATTAGTAACCACTTATCACTATAACTTATCGCTAAAAATCTAGCTTACTGCAAAAAAATCTCTTACCATTTTAGGTCACCACTAAGTGATAAAGACGCTCCAACCACCATCAATAACTCTTTTAAAATTGTAGGATAAAGGTAAAAATGTTCAACTGATCAAAAAGAGATTACAAAGAGTGTCCAAATTCTTTAACAATTTGCTGATTATTCCATTGATAATTAACCTCACTATATAGATGAAATACAACTCAAATTCGTTCCTTAGACTTACAATAAATATAGTATACACTAGAAATCAAAGTACTACTTAGAAAACAGAAAATGAGACTGAAATAACTGTTGACTTGACCAAGAACCAAAAAGACTCTTCACATACCTTTCTTAGGCTTCAAATAACTTCTCACTTCATAAACCAAACCCATATAAAAGCCCATATAAAGCTCATCTACATTTTAATCACTTGGCTGATCCAAAAACAATAAAGTATAAGCCAGTAGTCCATTCTGCTTCTCAACCATTTGTATATTTTATTTATCTTTCATGTTTGCTCCTCCATCATTCCCTCCGGCTTTATAAGGATCTCAAATCCAGAAACTTTTCATCCCAAATTATGGAGAAAGATCTCCCACATTCAATGTAACTGAAACTCCATAATCACCTAGAAGTTCAAGTTTCTAAGCATTCTCACCAAACTTCTCAAGTACCTTGAATGGACCATCTGATCTCGACATAAGCTTCGACTTGCGTCTGCTCGGAAACTTCTCCTTCCTCAGATGTAACCATACCAAATCATTTAGTTCAAATGACTTAGTATGGCGATTCTTGTTAGCTTTCTTCTTATACTTCTCATTCGTCTTTTGAATCTCAGCACGAACATTCTCATGTAGCTTCTTTATTGTATTAACACGTTCTGCTGCTTTATAGTTTTCTTTAAACTCACAAGGTAATGGAATCAGATCAACCACCAGTACTGCAAAAACCTCCTTGCCCTTATCAAGCTTTCTCAGAACACGTGATTTTCCTAAGAAAAGACTTTCCGTGTATCTTTTTTCTTGTAATTTCTCTGTTATATGCAACAAAGTAGGAACTAATGGTGGAAGCGTGATATGCTTTTTATCCTTATGAAAAGAATAAGTGTTTTTGTACCCATCGTGTATTGCACTTCTATCAAACTCTCAAGGTCTCCCAAGCAACATATGACAAGCATCCGTTGGAAAAACGTCTCATGGTACCTCATCTTGATAGTTCTTTCCAATAGAGAATGAAATTATAACTTATTTAGATACCTGCAGTTTGCTTCCATCATTCAACCACTTCAGCATGGTTGCTTATGCTTCACAGTAGGCAAACTCAGCTTCTCCACAAGTGTACTAGATACAACATTAGCACAACTCTCCTGAATCTCTTGAATTGTCATAACTCTGTGATTAGGATATTCAGCCTGAAAATGCCAAAATCCCTGGCACTTAAAGTATTTCTTCTTCATATTAGGAGATGTGGGTGCTGATGTAGTCTTGACTTCTACCTTCTTATTACTGCTGCTTGCATCACCTTTAAATCCCAATATGGATTCAAAGAAGAACCAGAAATGTAGGTTATGGTGTAAGGCTTCTTTCCCATCGTAACCTGCTTCTTCAACTTGATAGCAAGCTTCTTCACGTCATCAAAGAGTCCAATAAGTTTGCAAAACCACCTTAGATGCAATTGATATATCATAGTTTTATGGGTTTTTGACCATGATATATATCTTATTTATAAAGTTTTTTTTGGTATTTCGAGTTTTTTTAGAGTCTTTATAGGTCTAGGTATGTTTGGAGCATCATTGGAGATTTGGGAACATTTTGGAGCATTGTAGAGTTGTTTCTGAAAAGACCAAGTCATGAGGCG